CTTGAAGGCACCTCAGATCTTCAGACCGAAGGGGCTAAGTCTCACTCCCATAGAACAGAACGGCTCTCACTGTGGCCTTGTATACACGGTCTTTCAGACGGAGGGAAATTCCCTTCTGTCGCCAAAGATGCCGCAGATTCAAGAAAGCAGTTTATAGCGCGTTGATCATGCGCTATATATCCGGTACGCGACTAGACGGCCAACCAAAAGCAATGGGTAGAAGGTACAAGAGTAAGCTACGGAAAAGTTTATTGGACGGAAGAAGCGTTAGCTAATGCTAAAAATAGGGCACCCGGAGAGAGCTGGCTAGGGAGAATGTCGTTGGCGTCGAGAGCGTAGACGGAGCGTCGTTCGCAGTCGAGCCGCGCGACAAAGGCGGAGATCGTTTTTGTGTTTCCAACAAACGGGAACAACGTACCAACAGGCAAACCGAAAAGTTCCCTAATACATAAGAAAGCTATAATTTGAATATTTTAGAAAAGTTTACACAGTTATACGGGGGAATCTCCAGGTCGCTACACAGCCCCCTCCTAGAAGGGAAACCGTGGGTGACCCTTCGATCTACGTGAGGACTGTCCGCCGCGGGCCAGCCTTCTGTGAGACCAGGTAGTGAAACCTGATGCAGCTGCTGGGGGGGAACCAGGCGATCGGACCCTAGCGGGCTCCCAACCGTGTCCTCCCTAACGGTGCCAAAACAAAATGGGGGAAGTTCGTAAGCGTTAAATGTTCGCGAGTTCCTGAAGATCAAATGTTCGCTTCAGACTCGGCATCTCCTCCGGTTCATACATGGAAGATAAACGGAAACAAGAGTAGTGACGGTGAAGGCGAGGGCAAAAATAAGAGTGACACTTACCGGATGAGGTACGCGTCAAGCGAAACGTAACTCTTCATGTGTTTTCAGAACGTTTTCTTCTTTCTTTGGGTTTTCAAAACTTTTGTCGGTTTTTTTAGCGTTTTCAAAAGCTTTTGCCGATTTTTCTTGGGGTTTTCGTACGCAGTTGGCCAAAAGGGAAAAGGAAAACAATAAGGAAAGTGAAAGAAACACTAATCCCTTAATCGCGCTGGCCAATGAACGCGTCTACCCAACCTAGTCGACTTTTGCGAATCAGAGGAAGGCGTCACCTTAGACATCCTATTGGATCGCAAAATTGGAGGAACTGCTGGAGAAGTGGCGGTTGATTCGATGGGAAACGGCGGAGCTGAAGTGGAAGGCTTGGTTGGAACGTGATGCTTGGGTTCAGGGATGTTGGGAGCATGCGAGTCTTCCATCATGGGCTGGGTTGATTCTTCGGAAGACGAGCAAGGGTCTTCATCGAGCTCAGGTTTTACGTAGGCAACCTTGAGACGGTCAATTGTAACGGCTTCTCGTTTACCGTGACGGTCGATGATAAAAACGCGGTCCTTACGCTGCAGGACCTTGAAAGGACCTTCGTAAGGTCGCTCCAGTGGTCTGCGGAGACCATCGAGGCGGAGAAAAACGAACGGACAATGCTGCAGGTGTTGTGGAATAAAAGATTTACGTCGGAAAGCTTGTACTGACGCATGCTCGTGGCTAGCTGACGTGCATAATTTGCGTCGTAACGGGGAATTCTGGGACTAACGGAGAAGAAATCGCCAGGTAAACGCAATGGTTGTCCATATACTAACTCGGCGCTAGACGTACGTAGATCGGCCTTTAGGGCTGATCGGATCCCAAGGAGGATCATAGGCAGCACCTCAGGCCAACTCGGCGCATTGGCGGCGCTAAGCGAGGCTTTCAACTGACGGTGGAAACGTTCCACCATGCCGTTCGCTTGCGGATGATAGGCGGTCGTGCGAATGCGTTGGCATCCAATGAGTTTAAGGAGATCGTTAAAGGTCGTAGATTCGAACTGCGGACCGCGGTCTGTAGTCACTGTGGCTGGACAGCCGTGTGAAGCGACCCAGCGCTCGACGAAAGCGCGCGTTACGGTTTCCGCAGCTACGTTAGGGATGGGAACGGCTTCGGGCCAATGGGTGCAACGATCGATCATGGTCAAAATGTAGACCATTCCTTTGGACGGGGCCAGAGGCCTCACTATGTCGAGATGGACATGGGCAAATCGCGATGAAACGGACGGAAAGCGACCAAGCGGAGCGGACACGTGCCGCTGAATCTTGGCTTGCTGGCAGGTGAGACAGCTGCGTGCCCAAAGCGTAAGAGCGTTGCATCCCCGGCCAAACGTATCTCTCAGAGACAAGCTTAGCAGTAGCTTTAATGCCTGGGTGGGCGATATTGTGGAAGGTGTCGAAAACGATACGGCGAAAAGTTTCTGGAACGACGGGTCGAGGTCGTCCGGTAGATGTGTCGCATAAAATGGTACCAACGGATGATGGCAAAGGGTGCGGGGATATCTTCAAAGAAGAATCGCGGAATTCCGAAAAACTTTGGTCGTTTGATTGCGCGGCGGCCATAGTAGACAAATCGATTGCCTGCCCGGCAGGGGCGGTCGCAGATACTCTTGAAAGAGCATCAGCGACGACGTTTTGTTGACCAGAAATGTATCGGATATCAGTCGAGAATTGGGCGATGAAATCCAGCTGACGAATCTCACGTGGTGAGTGTCGAGCTGATTGATTTCGGAATGCGTAGGTAAGCGGCTTGTGATCGCTGAAGATAATGAAGGTATTACCTTCGAGGATGTGTCGGAAATGTCGAACTGTAGAGTAAACGGCCAGCAGTTCGCGACTGAACGTGCTGTACTTGACTTCGGCAGGTTGTAGGCGCCTAGAGTAGAATGCAAGTGGTTTCCAGCCCCCATTTGTATGTTGCTGTAGGACGGCGCCAATGGCGGTGTCCGATGCGTCAACAGCAACACTGAGCGAAGCATTAGAATCGAAATGATGAAGCATAACAGATTTGGCTGAGGCTTCTTTGCTGGCTTTAAAGGCTTCAGCAGCAGCGGCAGTCAGTTCCACCTGACCGTTTTTACATCCACGAAGTAGGTCGGTTAGTGGACTTAGCAAATTGGCACAGTGTGGAAGAAAACGTCGATAGTAGTTGAGCATGCCATTAAAACGGCGAATAGCGGCTAATGTAGTCGGGACCGGGAAGTCTCTGATGGCGCGGACTCTATCGTCTAGAGGCCGTATACCATACTGATCAATATGGTGGCCAAGGAATTCGACGGAAGGCTGCTGAAATACGCATTTGTCAGGGTTGACAGTGATGCTATTAGCGGCCAGCTTATCGAAAAGTATTTTGAGATGTTCTGCGTGCTGTTCTTTAGAAGCGCTGGCAACTAGGATATCATCGATGTATGCATAGACGAAATTTAGACCTCTAGTGACTGAATCGATGAGGCGTTGAAAAGCCTGGGCTGCATTGCGAAGACCGAACGGCATACGCAAAAATTCGAACAGCCCAAACGGCGTGATTACGGCAGTCTTCGGTATGTCTTCCTCAGCGACTGGAATCTAGTGATACGCGCGAACCAGATCGATTTTCGAGAACACACTGGTGCCGCGCAGGCTTGCCGTGATGTCCTGAATGTGAGGAATCCGATAGCGGTCGGGAACAGTAACGCTATTGAGCGCGCGGTAATCACCACATGGACGCCAGTCTCCTGACTTTTTGGGAACCATACGGAGCGGCGACGCCCAGGGACTTTTAGACGGGCGAACGATGCCTAGTTCAAGCATATGATGGAATTCCGCGCGAGCAATTTTAAGCTTGTAAGGGGTCATTCTTCTGGCTTTGGCAAAAACAGGCGGACCTTTCGTAACGATATGATGTTTTGCAGCATCAGTGGCGGATGAAAACGGTGCCGTTGCACGAAAGACTTGTGGAAATTTGGTATTAAGCATCTGACCGATAGGTAAACTTGACTGGTTGGCGTATACAGGACTGATTGACTCTATGTCGGTCAAAGTACCTATAACTGCCAGATTTGTTTGACGATCGGTCAGACGGCGTTGCTTCGCGTCAACAAGCAAATCGAAGTGCTGCAGAAAGTCAAGGCCAAGAATTGGCGTCTGGACATCTGCGACGAGAAAGATCCATTTAAATGAACATCGTAGGTTTAAATTAAGCGTGCGCGAGCGTTGACCATACACGCGAATGGTGGTGCCGTTTGCTGCGCGCAATGAACCGGTCGCCTCTTCGATATCATTAGAATCACGTGGGATAACGCTGACTTCTGTGCCGGTGTCAACGAGATAGCGTACTCCCGTACTGCGATCGGTGACAAAGAAAAGGCGACTGGGGCAGCCAGCAACGTCCGTCGCCCCTACGTGCTGGCTGGCCCGTTTCCCTGCGTGTTGAGCTTGAAGGAACAAGGCGGGCGACACGATCTGGCCTGATGACCAAATCGCTCGTGGTACCAACAATGGCTTGGCCTAGGGGGTGATTTCGAACGTGACCTAGGAGGAGTGCGGCTACTGGAACGATTTCGGCAGTTGGATCCGGACTGTCTTAGGTTCTCTAGCCGGTTGGTAAGTGCGGCTACTTGCGCTCTTAGTTCCGCTACCTCCGTACTGGAAGTAGACTGAACCTGAAATACTTGGGCGTTGGATTCCCAAATACGGTCGGCAATATCGGCGAGCTGAGAAAGAGGCGCATCGTTTGCATACAAGGGATTGCGCATGTCACGTGCAGGCGACGAAGCCACATCTCTTTAATGAAAGAGTCGCCAACAGAGAGAGGCTTAGCTAGAGCTTGCATCTTGTGCAGCAACTGCGAAGGCTTTCAATCCCCTAGCTCGGTTTCGTTAAGAAGCTGCGTAACGCGAGCATGGTCTGACATGCCACATCGCTTTAACACGATGGCCTTAAGCTCATCGTAATTTTTCTGATGTTCCGGAAGCTCCAAGATGTCGTCGAGGTCATCGACGACTTGCGGAGGAAGTGCTGCAACAACATAGTGAAATTTTACGCTGTCAAACTTAACACCATGTAATGAAAAAATAGGTTCTAGCTGGTTAAACCAGGCCTTAGGGTTGGTCTCTCGGAAAGGCGGGGATAGGGAAACGGAACCCACTAACCTGATCGTCAGAATCTTGGTGAATGACCTTCATTCCGGAGCGTGTGAATGTGAACGCAAGCGGTAAAAAGTAAAAGTAGAAAGGTAGACAGAACAAGTTACCGGAACTGAAAAGAAATTTTAGTATTAAACTCACGAAGAAAACTTCTTTTTCGGGGTCACCAATTATAGCGCGTTGATCGTGCGCCATATATCCGGTACGCGACTAGACGGCCAACCAAAAGCAATGGGTAGAAGGTACAAGAGTAAGCTACGGAAAAGTTTATTGAACGGGAGGAGCGTTAGCTAATGCTAAAAATAGGGCACTCGGAGAGAGCTAGCTAGGGAGAATGTCGTTCAGTTCAGTTCAGTTCAGATGGGGACTGGAACGATAGGAAAATCCCGTGAGTGTTCCATCTTGAGTGGATCGTTGAGCCAAGAATTGATGAAGTGCTCAGTTATTGATGGATCTAAAACGGAAACACCCGTATCGCACCCTGGCCAACCAGTTAATGCCCACGTTACCTGCCCTAGCAGTCCCTGCTGTGGCAGTCACGTGAAGTAAGCAAAGGATAGGAAGAGAAATCGAAGGTACAGAATAGGGAAGTGCACTTAAATAAGAAAATAATACCAATACGTGAAGAAAAGTAGAGAAAAGAAAATCGAAGTACGAAGATGCGAGTTACTCAGGAAAATGGAAAGGTTTCGTGTTGCCACCCAAGAGCGTCAAGTTGCCGCTCAAACCCCTTAACCGTAGATTCCCTGATAACATTTTCCGGAAGCATGTTCCAGCGGTCGATAACTCGGCGTGACAGCCGGATTTCCGCCCTAATCCGATCGGACCGCGGTTTGTCCAGCTTCAACGAATGACCGCGTAGAACAGACAATCTAGCGGGACTGAATAGCCAAGACAAATCTGGACCAACCTTCCCAGTCAAGATACGGTAGGTTAGGATTAGGTCTCCTCTAAGCCTTCGGTAGTGCATTGAGTGCATTCCCAAACTAAGTAGACGCTCGGGGTACGTCCGTCCCCGTAATCCCTCGACTAACCTAGTACCCACTCGTAAAACCCTCTCTAGCTCCATTTTGTCCCGGACGAGGCAGGGCGGACAAGCCTGGACGCAGTATTCCAGATGAGGGCGAACGAAAGCCGAGAACAGCCTCGTAAAGATGCCGCCCGTCAAGACTCCGAAAGAACGTCGGATTAACCACAACATGCGTAAACCTCTGTTTGCGGCCTTCTTCCAGTTGTCGCCGGAGTGTAACGCCGAAGAGTGTACGACGCCTAGGTCAACCTGGCTAGATACACGGGGGAGTTCGACCCCACCGACCAAGTACTTCGCAGGAGGACAACCTCCTCCAATTCGAAGAACGGAGCACTTTGCCTGATTTATGGGCAGTAACCATAAAGTAGACCAGTCCCAAAGCTTATCCAATGCTCGCTGAATAGCTTCGGAACCCCCAGGAACATCAACAATGTTCCACAGCTTCAGGTCATCAGCAAATAGCAGCGATGGTACCTCAAGCTCCGTGGGTAGGTCATTCACATAGATAGACAACAACAGCGGTCCAAGGACCGAGCCCTGCGGCACGCCGCTGAGGACAGACTGCCTAAATGACAGACCCCGGCCTACCCGTACACATTGTTCTCTACCCTCCAAGAAGGCAGTCACCCAATGAAGGGCGCGGCCAGATACCCCGTAAGAGGACAGCTTTTGCGCGAGCCTCAAATGGGGTACCTTGTCAAATGCCTTCGAAAAGTCGACGAAAAGCACGTCCAGCGTGTGGCCGTTATCCACTGCATCCGCCCAATTTTCGCGAGCCACCAACAGATTCGTCAGACACGAAAATCCCTTCCGGAATCCGTGTTGTACATTGCTAAGTAGGTTAAATCTACTCAGATGACTCTCCAATGAATCTCTCACCAGTTTCTCGAGGAGTTTGACTACTACACTCGTCAGACTAACTGGCCTGTAATTTGCAGGCAGACCCCTGTCCCCATGTTTAAAGATGGGACAGATGACAGCTTCCTTCCATTCGGAAGGCAATGCACAACTGTCAAGCGATTTCTGAAACACAATAGCGAGCGGTCCACTTAGTTCCGCAGCCAACTCATGCAACAGTTTCGGGTGAATTAACTCAGGCCCAGAGGCCTTAGAAGGGTTCAGCCCTTGTAACAGCCTACGAACTGCAGTCTCCGCTACAATAAATTCAGATAGTTCTGAACCCTCTGGAGTCCTGCAAACCAGCTCAACGCCTGTCAAAGAGGTTTCCCTTACAAACGCTGCCGCATATTGCCCACTGAGTATGCAGGCCTTGTCATAATCCGTATGCGCATGAGTACCGTCATCACGCATCAATACTGGAATTGACATGTTCGAACCGCAGCGTCTTTTGACATAAGCGAAGAATCTTTTTGGATTCTCTGAAGCTTCGTCCGCTAACCCTTTTTCAAAATTGAGCCGAGCATCCCTTAGGTGTTGCTTACACCTATTTCTAGCTTTACGGTACCTGTCATAAGTATCGGTAGACGGAGCGTCTCGGTAAGTCCGCCAACATCTAGATCTCTTTGTGAGCAGATGCCTGCCAGTGGGATCTATCCAGGGCGGCTGTGCTCGGGCCTCCTTTCTCCTTGTGATTGGTATGAAGGGAGCAGAGACCTCTGTGAGGTAGGACTTAAATTTATCCCAGGAAACCTGGACAGTATCGTCGTCTGAGATCTCACAATGGAAACCAGAAGCCTTGGCTCTCATTGATTGATAGTCTGCTTGCCATATGTTCGGGCGAGACTCAACAGTACTATGGTAGCGTCTAGACAGAGTACAATTGAAGAGCAAACAAACATGATCACTGGAACCCAGTGGAGGTCCGTAAGTAATGTCATCAACAAAATCGAGTGACTTAGCGAATACAAGGTCTAAGATAGACGGTACTTGGGCGTCCATGTACCTAGTGGGGAGGTCAATGAACTGGTGCAAAGATACTTGGAGCGTAAGTTCAAGCAGATCAGCGCCGAATGTGCCTGACGCTGAGTCGCAAGAAAGATCTGCCCAACAAATCTCTGGAAGGTTGAAGTCGCCCATCACCAAACACTTATTTGAGGACTGGGAGCGAATGAAGTCAAGTACCTCTTTGGATACGCTCCCAGGGCTTCTATACACAATTACAACTGTAACCTGAGCCGAGGATGTGCTAATAACAGCCGATAGAGCTTCAACAGTTTTGTCTACTGACTGAAATAAGCAAGTCTTCAAAACGTCAAGTTTACAGCTCACATAAAGAGCGACGCCCCCTCCCTGTCGGCCAACAGAGCGATCGCATCTAAATAGTGCGTAGCCAGATAGATTTACTTCACCATCCGTGATGTCCTGAGACAGCCACGTTTCAGTGAATGCGAGTATATCGGGATGAGACCCATCTACAAGCAGACCTAACTCGTACACCTTATTCCTTAGGCTGCGCACATTACTTAGCGCTATCTGAAGTTTTTCGTTAGATCTAGACCTGGGTCGTGAGCTACCAGTACTGGCACTGGTAGGGCGGAAAAGGACCGCCGGCTGACCACCCGAAAACCCACTAACCGGAGACCTTGTTCACTGGCCGCTCGCCTGCTTTTGAGGTCCTTGATGGCCTCCCTTAGCTTCAGCCTATCGGCTAGCGGAAGGTCCGGCTGAACGCTAATATTTGTACCTTTCAGCTTAAACGCAAACCGCATGAGAGCATTGCGTTCCTCCGGGGTAGAGAGTACCACACGAAGTAGCCGCGGTCGCGGGTTTGGTACGTTAACTGGGACGTTCCCCAGTCTAATCAGCTTCCTGACAGTAACGCCTGGAAAACCAGGCGGAAGAAGCCTCGTTACGCACATTTTAAACCATTGAAGGTCGTCCAACATGCGATCAGCGGGAAGGACAGCAGTAGATTCAGCCGCGTTACGGAATATAACGCTACTATCCGTGAAAGAATCGCCACGACGGGGTGTATTAACCCCACGGGTCTTTGATTCGGCACTCGGAGCAGGTGGCTTCACTACTGGTGATGGAACTGTCTTTAGCCCCTCCGATGATGTAGCAACGGCAGCGTATGTTTTTCGCTCCATTGTCGATGTCTTACTTTTGTTAGGGTCATCGATTTCACCGGAAGGCTTTATAGCAGATTTTGTCTGCTTTTTTTTCTTGATAACAGGAGTAGGGTCCCGTGGGGCTTTTTCGCTTTGAGCAGAATCAAGCACACCTTCAGAATATGTCTTCTCGGTGAGAACCAAGATTTCCGGCAACTTCGGCTGATAAGTAGTGCGTGTTGTGATCTTCGCCTTCGCAAAACCGTCAGACGGTTTGCCAAGTAACGACACTTGGCCTGTTACCGGTGCCGAGACAACTTCTTGTTTAGCAGAGAGCTTACGAGGTTTCCTGGCTCTTCTTCGCTTAACTCGAAGTGACCCTTGAACCAGCAATTCGGCATCGATCAGCGTAGGTATAGATACGACGTCCGAAGCTGCTTCATTTTTGTGGTCGGTAGCCATCTGGACCGGTGACATAATGATAGGTGCCACAAGCTGATCATCAGTGTAAGCGATCAAATCTGCTTTGTTGGAGACCGGAAGCGTCGTCATAAGCAGATCAATCTTAGAGCGAAGATCAGAGAGCATCGAGAACGAACGCTCTACATTTCGCAGCCGGGTATCAAGAGATTCATCTCTCGTACGAAAGGCTGTGCGGCCTTGCCGGCGGCTGCGGCAATTGGCACAACGGAACAGCAACTTTTCGCTAGAGGCCAGCGCTGCGTACTGCTCGGTATTTAGCTCCGTACAAAGCTGATGGTACCATCGGTTGCAGACGTCGCATTGCATACCGCCTGAATCGTCAGTTACTGGTACATTGCAGCTTGGTCCGCCACAAAGTGCGATAACCTCAGAATCCGAGCCATCAGGAACAACAGCCTCGGTGCATTGCGAGACCGACATAGTGGAAAACAGAGTGATTATAACACGTATGCAATAGTTAAACGACCACAATAAAAAGGCAAAAAACGGGGTGCAAAACGGGGTTGGCGTCGAGTGCGTTGACAGAG